TAGATAATCAAATGCATATAATTGGAATTTTTCTCGACTACTCCAAAGCTTTTGACACAATTGCATAGTTATTGTACCAACCGCCTTGCATCGTGCAGGACAGTTCCGCATTTCAAAGTGATTTTGGATGTACAATAATACGCATTTTGCAGAAACAAATGCGTGATCATAAATTTGTCACACATTTAGTAAAAGTCTAGGCTTGATGATGAATAATCACAAATTCAGGGGAAAATGTATTTAAAATTAGTTTTATCAAAAATATAAAACAGTTATGCAGTAACATGAGTCATTAGAGTGCTTTCGTTATCTCATTTGAGATTCAATTCAACAAGAGCTTTGAAGACGGGTGTGGTCTTGAACATTCATTCTCACAACCAACTGTTGATTGTGTGACTGCAGTAACTGACAACTGCAGAAACTGCAGTTGTCAGTAAGCATCAAACACATGCAAATGCAGTCAGGTAAGTACTGTATTTACATGAATACTTAATTCACTGACGCGAATACTAAAAATCGGTATGGTTAATTGGTCCTGGTTCTGGTTGTGGTGGGTAAAGCCATCCTTCTATGACTCCGAAAGTGTAGGACCATGGTTCTTAATAGGCGGCCAGCCAGCCAAATTTGGCCCATGCAGCTATTAAATCTGGCACGTGTAAAAAAATAAAATTAAAAACAAATAATCAATTTAAATTATATCATTTGATGAATATTAATTTTCTCATTATAAAAAAGAGAAAACAGCATTCCCCTATTAAAAAAAAAAAATTAATTAGCAAATATCAAAAGAACAAAAGCTTGTTATTTTTAATGTATTTAATCTTGAATTTGCACTGGAGGAATTCCGAACAGCATCTTCTGAAATCTTATCAACAGATTCATCTAAAACCTGCAAAACAAAAGGATACTGTTGCATGTAATTTCCTGTTATTGCATCCTTCCTTATTATCGTATATTGCATATATTACAATCGTATTTAAAACAAACCACATTTAAGTAAGACAATAAACAATATTCCAGCTCAGGCCATTATGTGTTTATTCGGTCTCTGATTCAACATGTCCGACTAACCATGAGGTATTTATAATTACCCAGTAATGCCTTGCTCTATTATCATTGTAGTCTTACAACCCAGACACTACACTTATGACGTGTTTAAATTGTTTTATTGTAGTTCTTTGTTTTATCTAAGACAAACTATGTACAGTAGTTGTCTTGGGTTTCATGTCACATAACAGATCTTGCTGGGTGTACGGTAAGAATGGCCCCGGAAAAAATGGCCCCGGAAAAAATGGCCCCGGAAAGAATGGCCCCGGAAAAAATGGCCCCGGTAAAAATGGCCCCATATGACAGGTAGGTAAAAATGGCGCCAAATGAAAAATTCTGTATTAAAACTGATTTTCTTGAGCCAATATATGCATTTTTTTATCTTAAATAATTTAGTTTTTAAAAGGAATCTAACATCAAACAAATTGCCATTTACATTAATTAATATTTAATTACATTAATATTCAATGATAAAATATTCAAAGATAAATAAAAAGCCATGAACTACACTTTTTTATTTTTTTCCCATTTAAATGTTAAAAAATAGCAACAACATAATCAATAAATCAACATAAATCATGCATTTATTAATACTAAAATAATTTACTTGTGGCCGATTTCACGGAAGCGGAATCAAAATTTTGCAGAAATTCAGTCTGTGTATTTCTCTAAGCAGACAATTTACTGCTAAGTTTGCGAGAAAGTAAGCCTCTCCCTTTTCCCATACATGAACTTGTGATTCAAACACACAATTGATCCACATGCTTTAACTACTGTTTATTTGCATTGTTTATTGTGTATAAGAGACAGGATATATTGATTATAAAATTATTAATTATTATTACTGAAACATTAATTATATTTTCTGTATACCACTTTCTTTAAATTTTTCAGTATTTTTCTTCATTTGTGCAGGAAATTTCGAGAAAATAGGTCCGCAGAATCGCATTAACATGCGAATGCCTATACTGTACATTGGTTACAATAGCCACCGGCCGACTTTACTGCAACATTTGCGGGGAAATTGGCAGACATATTTTTAATATGCGTGGATGGAATTTTTTCTTTATGAGATAACTCTAAATCAATTTACACATAATAATTTCAACCTAAACAGAGTTCCAGAGTTTTCACCAACATTTCGGGAGTGCTGAGATTCCAGCTCCCCGCTTGTGAGAGGCCATTTACGCTTCGTTTTAAGCCCGAAAAATTGGCATCACACAGTCGGCCGGCGACACTTCTTATCTAGGTTATAAGGTAGCCTAGAACTAGTACAACTTCAGCAAAGTATCTTATACCTACATATCTATAGTTTCATTTTCTTGTTCAATGGTTGTTTTTATTGAGAATTATTAAAAAAAAAAAAAAAAAAAACTGGTACGCCTTCGAAACTTCAGTACAGTAGAACCCCTCATTTACGTACGGCACAGGCCCAGAGCCGTTCGTAAATTCGGGTATTCGTAAAATCGGGGTTGACCCAAATTCCTATATATTTGCACTGATACTACTTACACTATAGATAAATTGTTCACCCTGTTGCCCACCCACTTTAACAATGGTATATTCCAATTGGGTGGTTTATGTCCTGGGTGGTTTATGTCCTGGGTGGTTTATGTCCTACATTCCATGTCACATAACAGATCTTGCTGTGCTGATTGTACTATCAAACCTTCCTCATTTGCAACCTAATTTTTCTACAAGATTGCTTTTTGTAGGTCCACATTTCCATAGCATTTTTTTTTGGCTATAGTATATATTTTTAAAACTCAATTAAATTTATCATTATTTGTTGTAACTTACAGACACCATCAACATCTAAGAAATAGAAAGGCATTGCTCACAATTTTCAGAGGAAATGGATTTTTACAAACTGCCCAATTCTGGCTCAGAATATTTTAACTAAAAAACTTGTTTAGTCTAGTACTAATGGTCATGGTTGAAAGATTTTTATATTTAGATTTTGGCACCAGTCGACAAATTGTCTGATGGTGGAGATTTCTACAAAAGCAATCAAGTTTCTAAAAATGCATTTGAGATCTTTGCAAACATTTGGGGTATCCAGAAAAACATGGATCAGAAAACATGGAACCTTTAGTTTTTTGAGTAGAGTTATTGCTTGGTGGTTAAGATGCTTGGGGGTGGGGATTCCAAGAATTTAATTTCAGGATAACAGGTTGCCAATCAAGGACATCTGGAAGGGGTAGAGTATCGAATATATAGGAATGGGTTTTTCTCATTCAATGATTATAAACATGGGATTTATTAGTGAATACACTACACAACAGTAAACAGTATTAAATATAAATAATGCAATAAAAAATATAATGTTTTGCAACCATGTTTTCAAGACCTATACAAGTAAAGGTTCAGTAGTTAATTATTTGTCTCTTTCTGCACAATAATATTTAGTAATTTAATGCTCTCATGGCTAAAATGGGACTTTTCTTATACCTTGTTTAGCGAACCCGCCGACTGCAAATATTGATGATTTTGAATAAAAATAAAATTTTATTTTTGGCCAATTAGCACACCCGCCACCACGAAAAAGTGTAAATTTCAGAAAAAGTAAGTATATTTCTTCCTAATTATATAAATTTGAAGCATTTAACCATCCTATTTTACATTCATCAATAAAATTTTATTTTTATTTTCACCTCCGTCTGGATGTTTTTGGCAAAACTATTTGCTAAATAAGAAAACAAAATTTAATTTTTATTTTTATTACGCTCTCCTCCGATGATCTTTTAAAAATTAAGTACGCGAAACAAGGAATAAAAAATGTCTCGCCTAAATGGTAAAATGAGGTTCTTCATCAGTATATTTCTGCAGCATTGGACAGATGGCAGTGAAAAAATATAAGGATTACCAGGGTGGGATGGATCATATGATAGATTGTACTTCCTTAATGCTTCTACTGTAGGCCTTATTTGTATTTACAAAATATTAAATATAATAAATATTAAATATAATAAATAAATATCATTTTCCAAAAAATTTGGGTTATATTGTTCAGCTTTAATATCAGTATCAGATGAATTACTATTATTAATTTCATCTATGCCTGTTAGTAATAGACCTACAGCTACAGTAGGCTTAGAGTAGGCATATAAAGGTCTATCATAAATAGGGAATTAGGAGGGCCTACCTAGCTAGCCTGAACTAGTTAGGCTTGATTTTTGGCCGTGGATTTTTGTTTCAGATAAGGTAGTATAATACATACTCCAAGTATGCACACCATCGTGTCGGGATTCAATATTTTGACATTAATTATATCATCATTTTTTTCAATTATTTAAATTTATGTATAGCTGAGGTGTAATTGGTAGAGCTGCTTTTACCCTAACCAACTTCAGTCTCTTTATCCTAATGTACTATTGCATGTCGGAAGAATAACGACTTCAATTTTTTATATCTATACTACTGCACTGTATAAAGTATGTAGGCTAGACTAGGTAAGCCTAGGATTCTCTGAACAATTTCATCGATCGTCATTTTTATATTATCGTCTTTACTAACCAATAGGCCTACCGAAATTCGCTAAGAAAGAAGATTCTACGGTACGCTATGTTTATCGGTACATTATATGCTTTTTGTGCTACAGTATACTATTATCTGTAAATTAACATAAACTTACCTACAATGGATTGTTGTATTACTTTGTTATCAAAACTGTACACGATCAGCACTTCCGTGATAACATGCCGGTGTCTGTTACGCAACTGCCGTGACGTTTTGGGATTCAACCAATCAGAAACACCGATTGGCTTTCGTTTTTTTTGCAACATCATTCCGTTTCCATCCCTCTCCCCACATCCGCCCATGCATGAGCTGGCATGAGCCTATGCGTCCTTTGATCTTATTTGACAGCGCTTTATAAACTAACGACTTATTTACTGTGTTAGTGCAGCTGGTTGGTTAGTGGAAAGGTCTCAATCTATATAGACCAACTTTACCTGGCAACCACATCAGCATCAATAAATTGACAGCCAATTTCTCTCAGCATGATTGAAACTGTACTCTTCCCGGAAGCTATTCCCCCTGTTAGGCCAACGAGGAACATACTGTAGCTGAATTTCCAGGTTACAACTACCACCTAAGGTAAAATAAAATAATGTTCAGCTTAAAATTATAATATTGTATTTGAATGTGTAATATTTAAATTTCTTGCTACTGAAGTTAAATTTTTTTTTAAATAAAAAAAGAAAGAAATAAAGAAAAAGAAATAATTGATCCCCGGACATCCCTAGGGTAGTGTTGTCTCCATCAGCTCCACTTTCGAACATCTCTGGATCCGCCCCTCCTGCAAGGGAAAACGTTTACTGGAATTTTCATGCAAGTCCACACAGACCCCTTCCGACACCTAGGCGTTAGACGAGACTTTTTTTATTCCTTGTTCCGTGTACTTATTTTTTTAAAGATCATCAGAAGAGGGAGGAATAAAAATAAAAATAAAATTTTGTTTTCTTATTTAGCAATTAGCATTTGCCAAAAACATGCAAATGGAGGAAAAAATAAAAATAAAATTTTATTGGTGAATGTAAAATTGGATGGTTTAATAATGTTTCAAATTTACAGTATATAATTTGGAAGAAATATATCTTATCTCAAGGCAGCGGAGGGTGTAATAAAAATAAAGAAAAACTTTTATTTTTTTTTCCTGAAATCTCCATTTTTCGTGGAGGCAGGAGGGCTAATTGGCCAAAAATAAAATTTTAATTTCATTCGAAATCATCAATATTTGCGTTCGGTGGGTTCGCTAAACAAGGTATAAAAAAGTCTCGCCTTATGTCACTGGCAACACTAGGCGTAAGCCAACATCCCTCTCCCTAAATATAGGCCTAGCCTAGCAGCCTGGCCCTAGTAGCAGGGAGGGTCCGCCTCCCTACTAGGGCATGCATGCCAAGTTCGACTAATTTGCAGGCGTGAGACTTTTATTACAAAAGACCCCTCCCTAGCAGGGTGTCCGGGCATGCCACCCCCCACCCCCCTAGAATATTTTTTCCCTAGATACCTGAAAATGGATTCTTTGCTAATTTAGGGTTATATTTTTATAACCGAAAATTTGTTAGAAATCCGCATTTTTTCCAGAGAATGCATATTTCTGCCGTCCACGATTGAACCTATCCCATGAGCCGCGTGCGTGGTGGCCAGCAGTGTACACGTTCTTTGATCCTGTTGATGCAGCTAGTTTGATCTGATCTGATCGCAAGAATAGTAAGAGAAATATTCAAATTTTTACCAAAAATTATCAGAATTTATCAACTAAAGAATATATGAGATACCATAATTATATGACAATACTGTATGTAATAATGAAAGAAACATCAGAAAAAAAAATATATTATCTCAAACATTTTTGTTAAGCTGTGCTCTTTGCAATTTTGCCAATGGTCATTTAAACCTTTCTGAAGACAACTCAAAAATTAACTGGTTCGTTTGTTGTTGCCATCTTGATTGTAAGACTCTCTGAGAAATTTGTATCTGACATGATTTACGCTGCCAGAAAACTGTAACATGTACAAACTGCCAGGCCTGCAATCTTGTAGGCAGCTCCATTTGATTGGATGAGAGTGTTACTTAAAATAGAAAGCTAACCCAACTCAACCCTGGTGTAGTGTGCCATCTATCTATGCTCAAATGTATAATAAAAACAAAGAGTATAAAACTGCAAGAGGTTCGACTGCCCATATTTTGTATACAGGCAAAGGAACATTGAAAAGTACTACCACGAAGGGTCGTGTCCTTCAAAATAACGTAAAAGGCATTCGTATTGAACGCATGCTGCGTTTCAAAACTCTAAAATACGTTCTAGATGCGCAGTACGCATTCGATACGAACGCCTTTTACACTCTTTTGAAGGACATGCCCCCCTCGCGGGAGTACTTTTTGAGATAGGATTACGTTCCAGAGAAACCACGGCAGTTGGACCTCTTGCAGTTCTATACTCTTTGATAAAAACAAAAGCAATCCTACTTATGCGCGAGACTCGAATGCGTGAGGCTTGGCATGTATGGAGGGTTCCGAGTCGTTTCGGCCATGAGTCGATTCGGCCTGGGTCGATACGGCAGGGTTGTTTTGGCCCTTTTTGGGTCGAAACGACCCGGGCTAGAAGGCCTAAACGACCCAGGTCAGAAGTGGTCGCGCCCTATTGCTTGTAAGCATTTCGATTGCAATTAACAGCCGCAGTATGGAGCACCAAGTACGCACTGCGGTTTATTTAGGTCCTGTATTTTTAAAGAGCGTTTTTTTTTTGTGTGTGTTTTAGTATGATTTATTTTGTCTTTTTTTACGATCCTTGACTATACATAATACTTTTTCTTTTTTGTATTTTTCAGTATGATTATTAAGTTTTACAATTGTTATTGTGTCAGAAATTTTAATTAGTTTGAGTATAATTTTACAATATGTGGTTATTCAAAAACAATGTTCTTTTTTTCTTGCAGTTCCTAGTGGAAAGTCAAGTGTACAAGACAGTACAATTATGTTATCCATTTCTAAATGATTCTTAATAAAGGCTTTTGTGTTTTGTTGGCATTTTATTTGTTAAATTAAATATATCTGAATTTCATATGTTTGTTTTCGCGGCTAGTAATTTCATTTATCAACAAAAAAAATGAGACATTCTCAAAAAAAACAAAAACAAAATCTTTTCAGAACTAGGACTATCTACTGTACGTTGCATTGTCAGCATTACTTCAACATGCAAACCTTCATACAATACTTCATCATTATTATCATTTTAGAATTTACAAAGACGAAAGTACATCATCCTAAAAAAAATCGCAAATATGGATCCATCGGGGGCGGATCCAGAGATGTCAGAAAGGGTGGGTGGGAGATCGAGCCTACACACCGCTGGGGGCGTCCTCAGCCCCGTCACCCTTTTAGGAAGTTAAAAAATGGAAAAAAAATTGATCGCCCAAAACGCCTCAGAGGTTACATTCGAGCGTCTGTCTAGAAAACAAATATTTCGTGGACCTCCCCTTAGGGCGGCGTTATTTCGATCGGCCCCATTTTCGGTTCCCGTCGGACATCTCTGGATCCGCTCCTGCCGGCAGGGGTCCTGTCCATATACGGTAAATGAAATATTAAAGCTTAAACAAAGTTGAATAATTTAAAAAAAAATCAGAACCATAGACGAGAGGTAAACATACAGGTACAGTACACATTAACGCCATGAGAAAAACAAAAAGAAATCAGCTTGGAAACGAGCTAAACAGTCCAACTCTACCGAGCACTGGTCTACTTTTCGAAAATTACGCAATTGATATAAAAACTTATTGGCCTATAAGTATAGGCAGTACATTAATAATCTTGAGTCTTCTATTGTGAACAATCCTAAAAGGTTCTGGTCTTTTTTCAGAACTAAAAAACAAACCAAATCATTACCCAATATTATTACGAGCTCTGGAGACAAAGCTTCTTTATTCAATTACTTTTTTTATTCTGTTTTGTCTCAAAGTAAAGATTATGCTGAATTTTCCAATATTCCCATTTTCAAGAATGACAATCTTGGATCTATTTTTATTAATGAAAATGACATTTTAGATATTCTTAAACATTCAGACGTTACTAAATCGTCAGGTCCTGATAATTTGTCTCCAATTGTCATAAGGGAATGTGCTCAACAGATTGCTTCTCCCTTATGCTATATTATCAATTGTTCTCTTAGAACTCAAACAATTCCCCTTGACTGGCTAAAAGCCAATGTTGTTCCTGTTTTTAAAAAATTTGACAAAAGTCGTATTGAGAATTATCGGCCTGTTTCCCTTCTTTGTATATGTGCCAAGGTTATGGAAAGAGCTATATTTAATGTTATTTTTCCAATTGTTCGTAAAGATATTTATCGATTGCAACATGGTTTTATAAAAGGTCGGTCCAGTAGCACACAACTTCTTACTGTTTTCCAAGAAATAAGTTCTGTGCTGGACAAAGCTGAGCAGGTTGACATGCTTTATTTAGATTTTTCTAAAGCTTTCGACAGTGTCTCTCATAAACTTCTTATTTACAAATTACAATCTTTCGGGTTTCATTCAAATCTTTTGGGGTGGTTTAATTCGTATATCAATAATCGTTATCAAAGGGTGGTTATAGAAGGGTGTAATTCTGATTGGCTTCCTGTTATCTCCGGAGTTCCCCAGGGATCCATACTTGGACCGTTTCTGTTTCTTTTATTCATTAATGACTTGCCCAGCTCTGGCCACCATTCCACTATGGCAATGTTTGCTGATGATTCCAAGTGTTTCAAAGAAATTAAGTCTATGTCTGATTGTAGTCTGTCTCTTATACACATCTAGATGTGTATAAGAGACAGGGATAGATGCATGAAGGGAATGACACCCAAAAGGTATTTCAAGCATTCTGGTACTACTGTATAAATGCATGAAAATTATGCCCAGATCAATATTAATTACTACTATATTCTACATCTTTCTTTATTAATAATCAAGGTTTTTTTTATATAAAATAGTATCGAGGGTATACAAAGACGGGCTACTAAATTCATATTGCATTATCCTAACCTTGATTATAAGTTGCGCCTTTTGCAGCTTGACTTGTTACCGTTGTCTTTTAGACGCGAGATCAGTGATCTCTTTATTTTTTTCAAAAGTTTTTATGGTATTTATGATATTTCTATTGATGATTATGTGCATTTTAATTCATCACAGGGCCGTTCTACCACCAGACTTTCGTCTGATCATTTTATGTTATCTATACGCCGGTGCAAAACTAAGGCTCATGAATCTTTTTATTTTCAACGAATTGTTTTCATCTGGAATAATCTTCCTTTATCAATTCGATCAGATTCTTCCTTTCCTTCTTTTAAGAACAAAGTTATTGAATTTTACAACTCTAAATTGAAATCTTATTTTTTTCCTGATAATTTTTGCACTTGGATCTCATTTTGTCACTGTTCTGGCTGCTGTCTCTTATACACATCTAGAAATCCTTATCTTTTTTACATTTATTTGATTATTTATTTATTCATTTTTCTCCGGTGGTAAGACGGCTCTGTAGAGGTGCTTGTTCACCTGTTCTGTTCTTGCCTTATAAGTTGAATAAAATAAAAAATAAATAAACTGCCATGGCATGTGTTTGCACCTAAAAATAGCCGTTCTAATTTTATCATCTGACTACTTCACTCTTTGCAGTAGTGCGCCCACACATTCCTGAAGGCGGCGTACAAATCATGTCTGACCGTGGGAACCTGTTTGTGGCCATTTCTTTCCGATTTTTATACTGTAGTTAGTTTCCATGCAACAATAGGCCTTGTGAGTGAAATTTAAGGCTTACTTAATATCAAAAGAGGCCTGAAACAGCCATTAACATTGTAGGTCTACTGTATAAATTTTATTTAAACTATATTTTACTATTTCCATTTATTTGTGTATTTAATAAACATGCCTAATCAAAATATGTATCGACAATAAATGAAACAAACAAGAAGATACAAACCATGTGTCTGCTTCACCTCAACATAATTGTTGAAAACGTTAATTCTTTCCTCAAATTATACTGTAGTTAATAATTTCTTTAGTTAATTTCTATGCAATGAGTGATTTTGTCGGCCTTAATAATACAATTATATATTTGCTTTATTTTCATTATCACATCATTCAGTATATTTTAATTTATTTTATATGACCTATGTATTGTTATAAATAGAACATTTGGTAATGTAAATGGAGACGCAAAAAAAAAAACTTATGACAAACTAATCCGCTAAATTAACTATAAGCCTATTTATTTTATAAATATAAATTTTATTGAAGCATTTATAAACATGATCCAAATATATATCGTACAGAAACGATAAAGAGAAACATATCTCCAAACCAATTGACATTTGCGTTGTTTCTATAAAAAGAAAGATTTGATACCGCAATGAACTGCAATGAACTTATTCGCGGCTGCATCTTCGGCGCTCCATACACTGCGGCCGAAATACATGACAAAAATACCAACTCAGGGGCAAAACGACTCAGGGGCGAAACGACTCAGGACAGAAACGACCTGGGCCGAAACGACTCGGGGCAGAAACGACCCGGGGCCGAATCGCCCAGGCCGAATCGACTCAGGCAGGCCCGTAGCCAGGAGGGGGGGGGTTTTATGGTTCGGACGAACCCCCCTTTTCTAGCGAACCCCCCTGTTTTCTAGCGAACCCCCTCAAATTTTTGAATGAGCCCCACTCGGACGGAATGTGTGATTTTAACTTACCCAGCATTAAATCAACATTTAGCACCTAATTCATTATTTGGTCACTGCGATACAAGCCTTCATTCATAGAATATCTTCAGAAGTTCGGAGATTTAAATTGAACGTAACTCCGGCAAACCATGAATTTACGATGGCTCCCATACTGTATAAGGATGGCAAACATCGATAAAAACCCGGCTCCCGTCTCAACTTTGACTGGCCTTTGCCTGAATGTTTGTAAGAAATGTACCAACCGGTAACGAAACCGGTCACCGTCTACCTAGAGTAAATGGCGCCACTAAACGAAGCTAAAGTTTTTCGACTTAATCCACCAAATGCAGCTAAAGTTTTGCGACTTAATCACCTGATTCTATGGACTGTGTGGTTAGTAAATTCCATAGCCATACTGTCCACAGCGCACACTAACCTATTTGCTGATTGAGCATTTTTGGGAAATTGACTCCTTTTTTCCATCCCAAACAAAAAAGTCATCATGGTCCATCTCAGTCATCATAGCCAGTCACAAATTTAGGAAGGTTGTTTTCAACAGCAGACACACACACAACAGAACGGAGTGTGTCAAAACGAGTGTTAATTTTTAGTGATAAAGAATTACGAAACGTCATAGAATAACTGACATTTTTCGTTCACTGTAGCAAAGAAGGAAACGACAGATAGTCCTTTAAGATGGGTTATTTTCACAAAAACGTGATGCAATAATGAAAAAATAATTATTATTGTTCATTTTCAATTTTATCTTATTCTTCTTTCTTCCTCTGCTTCTTTCATATTTTTGTTTAAATTTAATTTGTTATACTAAATACATATTTACGCATAATATTTCTATGTATATATATAAATTTATATCATTTTCATACAGATTTACATATTTTCTATAATCTAGAAATAGGTTTATGTATACTTTGTGTCTGTATTTAACATGTTTCAATCTTTTGCTTTATTTAAATATCAATTATCATAAATTTTAATGATTACATTATTTCATATAGTATATCTAGAGATACGGCCGATTGCTAAAGGTACGGTAAATGATATTATGTCATGATCAGCCAATAGAAACGCCGATTCATGCGTGACGTCATTCAGCGCACTGCTGCTGCAAGAGTAGTGAGTGTGTGTTTCAGCGTGACCACTGCTTGGGTATTTACCCAAGATCTTGGGTATTTTGACTTGGTCTTGGGTTCCTGGGTATTCCGTTCAAATCCTTGGGTATTTTATTTTTTCTAAGAAAATTAAATATTTTTGTCATTGAGGAAGAATTAAGAAGTAACAAAGACTATATTTCAGTCCATTCAAGCATAGAGAAAATAGAACACTGTTCTATTTTCTCTATGATTCAAGTAAGCAAAACTCAACGAAGTGCACATAACATTGTTAATTGACTGTTAATTGCCATAAACATGGGTTCAGAATTGTTTTATTTGTGATTTGAGCTGCCATTGATCTTACTTAATTAATGCATTACATAATAAAACTGATCTACTGATAACACTGGCCGACTGAGGGCGTATTTTTCTATCCGTATTATCACCTCATGAATAATTATTAATTTTAATAATTAACACAAACAATTAAAATAAAAAATTGGTTTATAAATTGAACTAAAAGGAAAATTATACATGTGAAAAACACGTATTTTTCAAATTTTAATGCATTTTCAGGAAGTTTGGGTAATTTTGGGCAATTTTTGCTGAATCTTTCAGCCCAGTCATTGGGTATATCAAAAATTGGAATGGTCAAAAGATCGAAGATTCGTTCGTTTGCGGGTGTTGTTGACAAGCTCTGATTAATATTCTGTAGCCCGAGGCCCTACAACAAATAAAAAGGATAGCAGTTCTGCTAGATTTGGCGACATCAAGCGAGAATAAACTATTTTAATAGTAGAAGCCAGGCCTAGGCCTTAGCTACCAATGAAAACCACCTAAGCCTAGCCTAGTAGTACGCCTATAGTATAAGTATGCCCCTGGGCCCTAGGCGGGTATTCGGGCTAGGCCCTAGGCCTAAGCCTAGCCTTAGTAGAACATTCTCTATGGATAGACCATAAAATACGCAAGAATAACAGAAAGGATTTTTAACCCAAACATTGTGATAAGCCCCAATCGAAATACATGAAATGGGCCTAAATGTTTATGACATAAATTTGATCGTAACTGTTCACGCCACGTTTCTCCTGATCGCGACGTCGACTTTGCAAAAAAGCCAAAATCGAGTCGGTCATTTCTATTGGCTAATCATGACGTAATATCATTTACTACCGTACCTTTAGCATTCGGAAGTTCCGATACGGTACCGTATCTCTAGCCACGGCATTTAAATAAATTTATAAACAATTTTAAATATTTAAATATAAACTATGAAAGTAAATACACGTACGGTAGATTAGATCAATAAAAATGGACATATTAATAATAATAATAATAATAAGGTAAGAACTTATAAATCCACTCACGATGCAGTACTGTTACGATTTTTAATTGTACGGGAAATCCACTCACGAAATATTTTCTTATTTTATTATATTACCACCTTTTTATTACATAGATCTTTTTCAAAACATAACTGCTTTTATAACATTATATAGACCCATTAAACAGAAAAACTGCTCTGGCTTCGGGGGATTCGCCCCTGACCCCACCCGGGCCCTTAGGCAGGCTTCTGGACCCCACGCCCAGAGGGATACCAGTCAACTCGCCCCCTATCAAACTCCCCCCCCCCCCACACACTCCCCCCCCCCCCCCCCCCCCCCCCCCCCCCCCCCCCCCCCCCCCCCCCCCCCCACTTTCCCCTTGCAATCTCGCCCCTTGCAATCTCGCCCCTTACAATCTCACCCCTTACAAACTTGCCCCCTAACAAACTCGCCCCCTGACTCTGCAGTCGCCACTTACAAACTTTCCCCTTAGCAAACTTGCCCTTGACAAACTTGCCCCCTTGTCAACTCGCCTCCTAACAAACTCGCCCCTAACGAATTCGCTTTCGAACAAACTCGCCCCCTAACAAACTCGCCCATAACCTTTCGGTTGACAACCATGCTACATAGTAATTAAATACAGACTAAAACTAGAAATTGCAAATTGCAAGTGAAGTGCTGCGAAGTACAACTGCATAAAATGTTCTTCGAACAAAATTATTTATGGGAGTCAAGTGAAAATAATGAATAATAAAAATATAACAAATAATATGAGCACGAAGATGTGTATAAGAGACAGGCTCTATATGTCAACTAACAGCACCGGATACTTCACAGCCGGTTACTCTGTCTCAAATGCGTTCGGTAAAGTAAATTTTTTTTTCTACACTTAATCAATTCTCATTATTTTGACTATGTTGCTTTATATTGTTATTGTAATCTTTGTATTCATACGTACAGGGTAGTGTCATATAGCACGTCCGCCCTAGTGCATGTTAGAATAGGACATCGATGGTTTAGCTAGTAGATTAAAACCCGAGATCCTCTTTCCATACATCGAATAAAAAATTATTTGCAAGGTAAACTGTGTACTCCTGTGTTCACTATAGTTTGTAAGGGGGCGGGATTGCAAGGGGCGAGTTTGATAGGGGCCGAGATTGAAAAGGGCCAGTTTGATGGGGGGGGGGGGCGAGTTCCCGCCCAGAGAACCCCCTTTAAATGACCTGGCTACGGGCCTGTCAGGGCCGAAACGACTCTAGCCTAGGCCTACACCGTATGGAGTGTGGTCCGCACGCCCAGAAGCCTACCCAAGTCACACAGAACTATATAGTAGTGACTCAACTTACCCCTACACTAACTAAAAAAGGAGGATTTACTTTTTGTATCACTCACTCGTCAGTCTTCATCTTCTCTTAAAAGTGGGTGCTCAGGCAAATCCTCACATGGCCGGATCGTCAAAATATTTGCCTGGACGTCATTGCGTTCTAAGCGTCAAAGACTTTTCCTTGACCAATAAAAATGCGTCACCAATTTACAGGCGCGTCGCAAGCAAGTTTTATTGGTCCCGCCAAATGCACGATCCCCACCCCACACCTTGGCCATGGCGGAGGGGTAGGGTTGGTGGTCCTGATGGAAAACCCTTTTTTAATAAACTATGTCCTTACAGGGCATCGTATTCTTGCCGGTATTACGCAAGAAAACTTTACATTTACAGAGAAGATTTCTACCGACCTGTAACAGGGCCGCACACAGTGGGCCAGGGCGAAATCAAAGTCAGTGTGCCAAAAGTTCTTCTTGGTGACTATGGCTTTTACACTTTTTTTCACATGACTGAAGATTGAAGAAGGGTATACCCTGGTGAATCTATCCTGAAAATATTTTAAATTTAAACGAATTTTCAGGGTGGTATTTTTCAAAAAATGTCAGAAATTTCTCTATAAATATTTTAAATGCTATAATTGACTACATAATATATCAAAACACGGTTTTTTTCTTACTGCAGAAAATTCGGAATTACTTCAAAATGTACACGTTTCTTTGTTAGACTTGCCACCACAAGTCTCATATTTATTATTTTTTCTCATTCTGGACAGCGCCACCAACGAGAAAAAATATTCAGTTTTATAATGATTGTAAAAGGTAATATAATATGCCGAACTTGGCAGTGTGCAATCCCACAATATACTAGTTTATTTCATTGCATACAACACATATTACATCCGGTAATTCCTGTATATAAACAGACATTGTTTTAATATTGTATTGCATCAATCTTGTAGGTCTAATTACAGGCCATAATATAACCTGTCACACTAACAATGATCTGTTTAAATTTCATGTGTGGATGTCTCCGGAGATACTGCAAAACTTCAATAAAGAAACCTTGAAATAAACCTCTAAAAATGTGTCTGGGCCCCTTACCTATCAGGGCCGTAGCCACCGGTACGGTTGGTCAGGTTTCAACCTGACCACTTTTTGACAGACCACAAGTTAATTAGGTTTTGAATAGGAAAAAAAGGCTAAATTCCACCTGACTCAACCTAATCTCTCTGACCGTTAATGTAACTGCTATTGCAAGTTTTTTATATTGCACAGAGGGTACAATAAACACCATTTGTATTTACTGGCTTCTTTTATTTCTATCTCTTCAAAACTCTTGTTCATATCTCCAATAAGCCGTAAATACCACAATGAACAACAATGTAAATCAAGTAACTTTAAAAACAGTAAAATGCTATTCTTTTTCACTAGCCCAGTCATGCGTGACGACTGACCTTCACAATGACCTCACTAGGCAACAGGTACCATGTGAGCGGAATCCCAAGATTAAACGTTCATCAATGTAAATTTCTTGTTTTAATTAAACTCTAATAATATTTCGGCTATCATAATCAACAATGCTCACTGGATAATCATTAAATTTAGATCAATACTGTGTATAAAGTAATATGAAACCCATAAAATATCAGTTCAGGCATTCATTTATCTTTTTGTGGAAAATATAACATATGAATCATACAAAATAAAAAGAATTCAAATAACATAAAAATGTAAAAAACATCTACACTAAATCAAAATGGAATATTCACTGCCTGTTTTATCCCAGTTTTAGTATTGGAGGGGTTCCGAAGGCTTTACAGTATAACCAATCCCCGTATTTCTGATAGATTGCTGATAAAATGTAAAATATTTAAGATTTTATGTTCAGTACATTCTCAAATGTTATATAAATCTCAATATATATCCCAAAATTACGTTATATTTATGCACCGAAGTATTCAACTTAATAATTTTTATGTTTTTATGTTTTTTGTTAATGGTTTATAATGATATTACAGTACCACACCATAAGGAAGTCCTCTCCTTTAAACTTCTAAACTTTGCGTATCTAAATATACATATATATGTCCTTAAATCAAGGGAGTCCATTCGTTAAATTAGTATATATAGTATAGAAAATTTTGTTTGTCAATCTCAGATATTAGGAAATTACGTTTTATGCATGCACCAACATGAGAACTTTAACCTAATAACTTTGATATGTATAATTGGACTTCCTTGTGTTGTGGTCATATTAGACTAATATTATTATTAAAGAAATCCATTCAACAAACAACATAAAAAATATGTTTTATGTTGTTTGTTGAATGGACTTATGACCACAACATAAGGAATATACCACAACATAAGGAATTCCCCTCTAATTGTTTGGCATAATATTGTACAGAGAATTTCAATTGTTTATCAATATCATTATACACATGTTAGATCCAAATCACGTTTTGTGCAAGCAAGATTTCAGAAGCCGAAACTGTAGACCAGTTTATCACTGATTTGAGATCAAAGCTAGGTCATGTGAATTTGAAACGCTCTCTACCTACCAACGAAAACGCATGATGACGCAGTTAGCTTGAGAATGACGCAAGAATCGTAATATTTCCATATTATGTTAGCCTAGCGGAAAAAGAGAGAACGCTTTAAAAGTTAAACAAGGTCAACAGGCAAGGCAACAGGAACACAGCTGTACAACAATAATTGATACCGTATGCACTGAATTTTCGGGCGAATTTTAAAGTAGTTTATCACTACCCTGAACTGGTAGGCCTGTGTTACTAATTAGTCGGCCTTTATCTAATGTAAGCCCTATGTGGCTAGGTCTATCTACTACTACTAGGCCTAGACTTGGCCTAGCTAGGCCTAGGCCCCTAGCTAAGTTGTAAGGCAAGAGCTTAGGGTAGGCCAGAGAGAGGGGTCAAGTGGCTGGGCTGCTAGCTAGGCCCTTCTGGGCCTAGCCTACTAGGCCTAGGGTCAGGCGGAAATTCGGGCACTAGCCGGGATAGTTAGGCTTAGATCCTAGTTAGGCCTAGATCCTAGGCAGGGTCGTACCCATTAAAGGTTTACTTTGGTGATGTGCTGGATGCAGGACTAAAGTCCTCTAGGCATATGGGCAATTCCATGGTCACAGACCGACTTTTTAAGGCATTCATAATGGTAAAAAACTGTTTAAATATTACAGATAAACCAGTAAATCTGAAATTCCAAGTAAATTTTATATTCCTTCCCACACACTTTTAATTGACAATATTACAAAAATCA